GACGACGAGACGAAGAGATCGCCGTCGAGATCGCCGCCAGCCGCCGCCGCACGCGCCATCACGCGCCGCCGGAAGGAAGCAGTTACTGGGACTTACATGAGCGCATGAGAGCACGTGAGACCTCCGTTTTCCGATCGGTCAATGCCGTTGACTTCGCCGTGACATCAGCTTTCTGGAATACTCAAGTTTGTTCGATTCCGAGAAGATTTGATTTGCGGTCATCTGTCCGGGCCAGCCAGATCTACATAAATTTTATGCAGTAAGTTTTCTTTATCAAACCTTTAGATCCGCTGCGCATAGGTTTATGTTGAATGTTTGTCCGTGATTTGTGCATAACGAGATCCTCATATGTCCCAACAGCCACGACCTGGACACTTGTCCTCAAGGGAAGAATTCATCATCCAACACCTCTCTTGACTCACGGATTTTTACCATAATAAATAACCGAACGTGTGGGATGTCTTCCATTCATTTTCTCACGCAAAAGCCGAGCCATCTTCAGCATACTAAATAGAGAGAAAACCGTAAGGAAAAATAAAGGAAAAATCGTACAAAAATAGCTAAGCATTGTCGAAGTGAAAGGGGAGCAAGAACACACACTCAAGCACTAGTACGCACGCAAGCTATCGTGCAATCCTCGACCGAATTGAAGGGTATACTCCTATTTACCCTCTTTTTACGTAGTTAGGTTCATGTTAATAAGATCATGTTAAAATAATGTTGTTCGGTCCAAGGTTTTTAGCAAAATGGCCTCGGAGGGGCTATATAAACTCACTCCGAGTAACTTCAAAAAGTAACCGGCAAGTCCCGAGTAATCTATGCATATTCGGTCATTTCAGGTCATTTTATATTCAGTCATGTAAGGGTTGCCGGAGAAGATGGCCGGACGGTCGGCGAAATACCGACCGTGATGCCTACCACGCACAGCGTGCGCGCAGGCGCGCCCGGCAGGTCCAGCGAGTACGCAGGCAGCGTCTGCGCGCCCAGTGACGCGCACGCGTGCCCAGTACTCGGCAGTCAAGCGTTGCGATGCCGCAGTTATGCGTGTAGACGTGCA